TTGGCAACTGGTCTGCAAACGCTCGGTCGCAAAAGAGAAATCATCACTGCGCGGCTGGTTAGGTACTTATCCGCTATATGGCTTTTGGAGAGCATCTGGTATATCTGAATTTGATTGGATGATTGAATGACAACGAACTTACAGCCCAATAATTCATCTAATTACTACTTTTCTGCTCCTTTCTTTGAGAAGCTTGACTTTTCAGAAGCAGTCTATATTGAAGCGGAGGGAAACCTCTCTCCCTAATTCACAGATTCCTCCAAAAGATCAGCAGCTATTGGCTATCGGATGATAAAAATTAGATTCCTCATATGATTTTTACTCAAATCTGCGTAGAGCCATTGTCCTCAGTAGACCGTATTTCTGCTGAGGTTTGAAAACACTGTGGTCGTTTTCATAAAGGAGACTACCCATAAGGTTGCTGAAAACTCTTCGACAGCCGACGACCGGTTTCGCCCTTCTTGAAGCTCATCAGTCCCCGTTGGTCGTTGTTTTGTGTGATCGTCGGTGACATATCCGTCGATCAGGTCGCACTTCATCTCTTCGTCGAGCTTGGCAACTGGTCTGCAAACGCTCGGTCGCAAAAGAGAAATCATCACTGCGCGGCTGGTTAGGTACTTATCCGCTATATGGCTTTTGGAGAGCATCTGGTATATCTGAATTTGATTGGATGATTGAATGACAACGACATTAATTCACCAATCACATCAAGAGATTGTAGTTGCTTTTCGAAAGCTATATAAATGTACGCAAGTGAGGAGGACCTACCCATCCAGCCACTGTCATTCGTAGACGAGACTTTTGCAATAAAATTACCGTGCTCGACAAACATTTCAACAGCTTCATGACGAACAACCTGATCAACGCCCAACCTATTAGTATTTCGACACGTAGCTAGAACTTTATTAGGTTTTGTTACTTACCACCTGTCCCTCTTGTTGAGTTTGTTAACTTTTCACAAGGTTAGATGTCCATTTAGTTTGTGTTGGTCAACCGAAGCACGTTACGCAGATTTATTTCAGTCCACCTCTAAGGCCACTGCATCCTGATTTTATTTCATAATTTTTTCCTATTTTTAAAGATATGCACTACTGTTTTTAGGAAAACGTAAGCCTTAACGCGAAACATTTCCTTCCACTTAATTTGAATAGGTATTTTAGGAAACGATAGGAGGATGGTAGGCCTGGTATGGAAGAGTTGCGGACCGTTTTTACTCGACCCGTCAGCCATATCACAGAGATATGCAATATAAACTACTTGAAAATTACGCGTTTGATACAGAAATATTAGTAAAAATAGTTGAAACAGTTGAAGTCAGATGGTCAGTGACGCAAGAGGCAAAACTTTACGCGCATTTATCCAGAGGTGAATGAAACTTGGGTACGACAGGTATAGATATATTGGGAAACTTTGCTATTTGGAGACATCAATGTATGTAATACCTTCACCTAATCACGAGAAGCAACCCGTATCACTAGAAGATAGAACACTCTACCCTTTGGGTGCACCATCACGTCAGAAAGCATATATGAGGGAATATCAAACACACGAGTATCGTAACTGCTGTTCACCATTGGTGCTGCAGAATAATGGCAGTCCCAGTGAATTACTTGGTTGTTGCTAAAAAAACATAATAAACGAGAGATTCAGCTGGGTTCCAGGTGAGTCGCTCGCAAAACCAAATTTATTCGCTAAGTTCGTTCAAGCAGAAAGTAAAGTTGACGGAAACTTGGGGATTGTGCCTACCTGATGAACCCCAAGAAGGGCGAAACCGGTCTTACGCTGTCGAAGAATTTTCAGCAGCCTTGTGAGTATTGTATTACGCCTATAGCTGTTGACGTCTTCACTGAGAAGTAAACTTAGTTTGCTAAAGTGTTTATCTATCAGTCGCTCTAGAAAAACTCGTCATCTCACAGCACACTGGAGATATGCCGCTAAAATGGTACACTGCGAACCACTTGTCAGGCTCAGGTAAACAATCAGTGATTTTTCGACTAGTGACGGTATTTGTACAGGGATCATCCACCACTAAACAATGTAGTGAACGGAGTGGACCTCTGCATTATCTATTGTACTGCCAGCTATAATCACATTCATTACTTTTACCGATTTCGGACACTCAGAAATTTCTTACCAACCTAGATTAGCCCACAAATGAACTCCAGGTACGTTCCTGCAACATTATTCGGTTCAGAAAACCGACTTTCTTTCTTGTATGGTTGGAAAAGAAACGACAGAGGATTCATTTTGAAAAAGCCACCCTCATTAGTGGGAGCATGGTCACGATATCCATTTATGATGTGCATTTTTCCACAACTAACGTGAAATTCCCAACTGATGGACACCCATAGAGAAGGAATAATAGCCTTAGGGTGAATCCTTAAGTGATAGCTCAGAACAATTGGGCTATTAATCACAAACCTTTTATAAATCATCAATCGGTTTTTGTTGTCAGGGAAGAGCAGCTAAAATACTAATGATTCCACGGTGAATAGACGAACTAAGAAGATCCAGTTTAGTCATCACATTGAGGAAATCACGGTTGTCATTGTAAAGCAACGACCCTAAGCAATTGAACTGTCCTACCATTTTCAGAATCGGTTTTAAGATGACCTGTCCAACTTGAATTTGACAGTCTTTAAAAGGTCATTTCTCAGATTACAAGACAGAGAAAGAGTCACTTCCTGTCCATTTGTCGAAATATAGGTGGCTCGGGTGTGTTTACTGGTGGTTGATAAGATGGCAGTTGATCTGTTCGCGGAGCTTGGCAATTGGCTTGCAAACGTTTCGTCCCCAGTCGAGGAGACATTGTCAGTGCTCAGTTGAGTGGGTGCTTCCTCCGTTCCTAGCTGCGTTTATGTAGTTTATGAAGAGAATCTAATATCCCGTCATGTGATTGGCTAGTTGGTGTATACCTTCTGTTGCATTATTGTAGGACAGACCGTGATTTTTGTTGCGTTGCGGTCTGTATGCCTCTTATTCCATTGGTTCGTTGAATGGCTGTTTTGGGGTGCTTCAGGTCTGTTTGCAGTGGGTCCGTTCCCGTTTTGTGTTTCGTTGTAGTCTTCCTTCCTTGAATCTGTTTGGGTGTGACGGCGGCTTCTATTTTTGGTAGTTTCATTGCTTCAGCTTCTTTGTTTCTTTTTTACTTTGTCCGCCTCTGTGTTCTGTATTTTCGTAATTCTTTTGTTTGCAGTGGCCGATAGACTGGGTCAATTTCGATGTGTTTGTTGATGGCTTTTTAGTGAAGTGTCATGCCTCTATGAATTCACGTTCTCTCTTTATTCTCGCTTGAGCGAGAGCGAGCGAACGTCATTGCTGGTTGATATTACATAGTTGTGTTATGCCCAAGAGCACATAACCGCCAGTATTTGTCGCGCATAAACCTGTGCTCTCTTCTTATCTGATTGTCCTGCAGAGTGTTACACTGTAGAGTGGACACTTAGGATGTGTCCAAAAAGTAGCTGTAAACATAAGTACTTTCATCACGTGATTGTTTTTGCCTCATTGGTTCTGGTTATCTTAATAGGTAATAGGCGAATTTGTATCTCTTTCCCATCATAAAAAGCACAGAACTATTCACTAACGACTCCATACACTGAACGAACCTGCTCGAACATCCTTATGGCCACTGTGGTGGTATCCGGTGGGCCTACTAAGACGCTGTTCTAAGCCTATTTAATACAAAAATATTTCGTTAATGTGACAAATAGAAGGACTTGAAAACAAGCCACTGTTTTAAGGACTTTTTACTGTCAACCATGCCACAAAGTTGCGGATAAGGCCAAAGTCTGAGACAACAAACAGCCTGATCAGACTGTGAATGCTGGTTGAAAACAAGAAGGAAATGCTCAGATGCAGGGCTCCGTCACGAAAACAGATTGTGAGTAATTGAATCGATCTGAGGAGAATGACTGGTCACAGATTTGTCAAACAATAAGACTGCACAACCACGTTAGTAAGTTGAACTACATATAGTAGTATTATACATACATGTATATAATATAATTATATATAATATTCAGCGCAAGGCAGTATACGTTAGATAACAAGTAAGACGCTGTTTATCAGGCAAGGACGCAAAGTCCTTAATTGAGAATTTTATCGCCTCTGAAAATCGTCTTTGAAATCCGTTGTTCCGGTAAGTGAGCCAACCGTAAATACTATGGGAATATGGATGATAAGGCTGTAAATAGGAATGTCGAGGAGTTTTGAGCAACCTTGTGAGTAGTATCCTCCATGAAAATATACTGCGATATCTCGAATATTGTGCCAACTGAAACATGAGGCGGTATGTGTGCAGCACATTCAGTTGCAGCATATCATAAACGAAAGATTGAGTTGAGTCTCTCGTGAAAACCAAATTGAGTTGCAAATGAGTGTATTTCTCGAAAACAGTCCAATCTGGATTCAAGTAGAACATCAGGTTGACGAAAACTCGAGTACTGCGCCTACCTGGTGAGCTCCAAGAAGGGCGAAACCGATCGTGGGCTGTAGAAGAGTTTTCAGCAACTATGTGAATATTTTCTTTTTTGAAAAAGCAATATCTTTTATTTATAATTCCATTTTTGATGAGTTTACTCTGATTAATAGTCCCTACGATTTTTACAGGTCAATCAAGATCTGGCCGTCAATATATCTGTCAGGAGTGTCCACTTTGTTCATTCTCATTAAATGTATTGATGGATGAAATGAAGAGACCAACGCTAGAAATTCTAGATAATGACAAAAACCTTGTTGATCTGGAATATCCAGACGATATGGTTCTCGACTTCGAGGAAGAAAAGAGGGTGGAGTTTATTCTTGAATGAACTGACCAAAGTCTTTTTTATGCACTTTGAACCCACAGAGTGTAAGGTTATATCCCTGGATCCACAGTTACTACACAAGGTCCGATCGTTGTCTGACAGATGTGGTTCAGTGCACGAATATGCAAGGCTCGAGTCGCGTTTGCTAATTAGAGACACCTGTGGTGTCCAAGCGTTGTATCCCCGAATCTCATGTTCGAAGAGGAGGAAAAGGCGCAAGTATTCTTGAATGAACTGACCAAAGTCATCCCGTTCTTTGATATGCACTTTGCACCTACAAAGTGTAAGGTCATACTTATGGACGTGCAGTCACTGAACACGCCCTTTACAATCCAGGGAGAGGTACTGGAAGTTGGGGAGCGTTTTACGTACCTTGGAAGTTGTATTAGTTCTGATTGTAGTGTGACAGATGAGGTGAATACACGAATCTCCAAGGCTCGGGCCGCGTTTGCTTACTTGAGACTCCTGTGGCGTCAGAAGGGTTTATCCCTGAATCTGAAGGGACGTGTGTATCAAGCTACAGTACGGGCTGTTTTGTTGTATGGCTGTGAGACTTGGCCTATTCGAGCAGCGGACCTGAGACGTCTTCAGATGTTTGACAGCCGTTCCCTCGGAAATCGTTTAGGTGAGTGTCGGCGAATCCACCACGAGACAATTAGAAAACGAATGTTGGCATGCGTCACAGGTTATTCGGTCAAAGAATGGGTTCAGCACCGGATGCATGTACTGCGTGTTCGGAACCAACGTTTGCCGAAGAGAGTGCTGCTTTCCATGTCCAGTTCAGAGTGGCGGAAGCATAAAGATGTCCAACCCTTGATCTGATAGAGGGCTATGAAAGAGATCATGAAACGTTTGGGTGCTGTTGATGCTACTCGTCTACCAAGATGAGGACCGCGTGATCCCCACTGCGCCTAGTTGGAGACGCTGCCAACGGATGTCCGTGGCGTTTTTGTTATCAACCTCTGTCCAGATTGCCTGAATGAGTGTCTGGAAGCGATTGATTTTGGAACGATTTTGGTAGTCTAGTACTAAGTGTATTCCAGGTCCACTTTTCTTCTTTCATTCACGACAAAGCCATCGGATGAATCATGGCTGTACGACAACGATGCATCGCTGTTGAACTGCGCTGTCAGTGATGATGACCTTGTGGATAGCCTTGATGTGTGTACTCTTTTAGGATTCATAAATCCGTCCATACACAAAAAGAGAAGCTCCGAGACAAGAACGGATTTTCACTATCCACAGCTTCAAAATGACGTTTGTTAAGCTTGTCACCATAATTTGGTTTTGTAGCTAGAAACATGCAGTTCAATTGTAGCCAATCGATCTAGTATGGAAGATGATCTGATTGGTTAGTACTCACATTTGCTCCATTCCGGTTTGAGGAAAGTTGTCGCGACAATGAGCCACAAACGGAATCCGTGTTTGTTATTCGCATCTCCTTGTTCTCTTGTTTCTTGTCAGATAAATTCGTTGATTATTCAAAGCATTTTTGAGGGCGAAATTCTCCGCAACACGAAGGTCACCGTTTCCAGGATCGAATCCCTAAAAACGACAATGCTCCGTTCCTGCGTGTTTTTCCTGCTGGTATTTGCATTTCACACCACTGTACTGCGAACAGGATCTGTGGAAGCAGGTAAGAGCTTGTTTGATTTTGTCTGCGCCGGTCACTACTAATCTCGGGATACACTTGATTCAGACAGAAAATATTTTACGTTCAACCGCACGGAGCTTTCACATGCCATGTCCCAGGAGCCGATCGAAAAGTCTGAAAGTCATATCTTGATGCGCAGCGCTTCCCTTGGTCATGACTCAAAATAAATTTTACTGAGCTTACGTACAGAGCAGTCGCTGGAAAGCGATTAGACACCAGGTGATATGGTGCGGTCAACGCAAACTTTTCAAACGTGTTACCTCACGTAATCACTTCTGGTCAGTGATGCCCCTGTCTTTTGTTTGCGATCATGGAATAGGTAGCGTTATGGGACAACCTCAAAGAACAATTCAGCCACACTGCGTATCTCACTATTCTATCTCCACTCAAAAAGAGCGAAGCCCGAATGTTCAGTGGGATCAACCCTTAGATCTCTCCACTTGAGTAGCCAGGCAGAACCAGAGCTAACGACGTGAACTGAATGATAGTAAGCTAAGTGGTGCCACTCCAGGTCTAACCGAGTTTCATTCACACTGTCTGATTGATGACGTTCAGTTGTTCACCGGAAGGATGTTGTACAAGGTTTCTCAAACTTTCTTCGGATAAGTAATACTTTACAAATTTAGGATCACGTCTTCTTGAAATCGTACTTACTGATTTAACATTCAAGAAAGGTTTGTCCAAGTCTCCAACAACTGCTTGCAGACTGGCACTTTTGAAGCTGCCTGAGAATCATTTTGGTGGAAATACTGACTACATTGCTACATGAAGATCACCATCAGGCTGACTGTTGAAGGTCGCGTTTGATGGTTCAATCTGTCGCACACTTTAGTGTGATAACAAGACCGTTCAGATAGTGTTCCCATACTATACACCGTTGACAGATGCGTGTTGCTGCGCCTTCACTCTGATTCTGTTTACGAATCCGTGGGGGCGGGCAAAGTTACGTCGCTCACCAGACACTTATGCTTTTAATTAAGGCGCTACTTTTATCCCTCTTTCTTTTCCTGGCCTGTTAGTAGTGTAGTAGTTAGTATTGTATCTATGCTTGAGTCAATGACTAATTAGAGATGTGACGTAGAGCCTGGCTCTTAAGATTGGTATTTCATACAGCTATACGCAGATTTCTGAAGGCAGCACACGATCTCACCTAGAATTTATGGAGTTTCCTGGACGTTTTCAACAACCCGTCCACCTCACTGTCCGATCCCTGCACTTTGGTACATGTTTTTATGCTTCCTTAACTCTGCTGTAACTTTGAACACTGATGATTCAACTCTGGGTGCATGCATCCCTTCAGAAGTTGACTTGGCCATTTATAAAATACAACAGGAATATAGTAATTGTTTGTGGAAAATGGCTGACGTAAGGATAAAACCTAAGGTGCGTTCAGTCAAATTGCGGTACGACACAAAATGCTGAGGCTTGAAGAGGTCTGAAAGGTTACATTCCTAAAGATTTTCACAGAATACTCGAGACCTACTGAGACCCTCAAACTCCACCAACCTCCTTGGATCAGGGTCAAACAGTGCCCTTCAAAATATAACGCGGGGCCGTTGCAACTGTGCACTTACTTGTTTGCAATAAAGCTGTTGTGTTCCTTCTCGGTGAGTTTTTTCGGCACTAAGACACTGGAGCGGGGACAGAAATTAGATATAACAGGAGTATAAGTAACTGTGGCTCAGCGATCGACTGCACACTTTGACTTCTGGAGTCCGGCAAGCACCGCACCCCATAGAAAATTGGGTCCTAGGTAAGCCCGATTGAAGGGCTAAAAGCTTATCCTTGTCGGACAATATTAGACATAATTGAGCTTTCTTCCTGCTTAGCTCCAGAAAAGTGCCATACAACCGCTTCATTCCTATTAGGAATAATCAGCAATGCGTATCTCACGAAACATTCAGGAGCCCTAAGAAGGACGACAATGACTGTGGGCTGTCGAAGAGTTCTCAGCAACCCTATGACTAGTGCATCATGTCTAAAACTTTTAGGAGGTTCCACTAATTGATAGACAGTATAATTAGTCAACTCAATGCAGATTTCATCCTGAGGGTGAAGCCGGCGAGCACCGTACAGTTGTTTCATTCTTATTGGGAATAGTCAGCTCTGCGCATCACGCGAAACTCACGTTTGGAGTTTTGAATCCACACTTCCGAGCTAGTAGTCTGAACAGTTAATCTTTCGACCGCGAGCGGCTGATCAGTGGTGTGATTGACTAGCAGGTTGACAGGATAGACCAACACACTCTCCGTGGCCATATCCAAACACTTTGACTTCTGGAGTCCCACGTGGCAAGCACCCCACAGAAAATTGGGGCTAAAAGCTTATCTTTGTCGGACAATATTAGACACAATTGGGCTTTCTTCCTGCTTGGCTCCAGAAAAGTGCCATACCGCTTCATTCCTATTAGGAAGGATCAGCAATTGGTATCTCACGAAACATTCAGGAGCCCTAAGAAGAACGACAATGACTGTGGGCTGTCGAAGAGTTCTCAGCAACTCTATGACTAGTGCATCATGTCTAAAACTTTGTGGAAGTTCCACTAATTGATAGACAGTGTAATTAGTCAATTCAATGCAGATTTCATCCTGAGGGTGAAGCCGGCGAGCACCGTACAGTTGTTTTATTCTTATTGGGAATCGCCAGCACTGCGCATCACGCGAAACTCAAGTCAAGTCCTTGTAATATACATCGCATCAAAAATGGTAATCATGCAAAAACACTTTTGTGGCCTTATCGTGCTGAACAACACTTTCAGTTTAGATCCTTGTTTGATGATGTTTCCCCTGGATGCATGAAAATTAATCACCAAGTTCATTTGGAAACAGCATTCGAAGTAGCAAACCAGTTTGGTTTTGGAGGGATGAGGTTGAACGTCTTGACTAGCTTCGCGGCTGAACGGGGTTGACTGAGAATGCACGTGCTGTCAAGTCGTACTCCGTGATCACCCTTTTAGAGGAAATTGTGTAGACACTTATCGTGCTGAACAACACTTTCAGTTTAGATCCCTGTTTGATGATGTTTCCCCTGGATGCATGAAAATTAATCACCAAGTTCATTTGGAAACAGCATTCGAAGTAGCAAACCAGTTTGGTTTTGGAGGGAAAACTCACCTGGAACCCAGCTAAATCTCTCGTTTATGATGTTTTCAAGCAACTGAATGTGCTGCACCAGGCAACCTCATGTTTCGGTTGATAGGATATTCGAGATATCGCAATACGTAATACACTACTCATAAGGTTGCTGAAAATTCTTCAAAGTACTTTCCAGTTCATAATTAAGTGAAGTAAACTGAGTAGATTGTGGGTGGATCTGCGATTGGGCATGATTGTTGTGGGATGAGCGCACTGTCGTGAAAACGCCGTCTGACACAGCATCTTATGAATAGTCGACGCAAAGCTGTTCGGCCGCCGCCGCTAGCAAGTTGTGTACCGCCTTGAGCACCTTATAGAGACAAAGTTATCGACGGAATTTGATCACCTCAAATGTGAAGGAGATATTCAACTCGCTAGAAACGTTACAATGAGAGGTCAACGTGAACTCGGGTTGTATAGTTCCACGAGTATCTGAACTCACATCTGGTGGCCAAACTGAACTAGATCTCACTTTTCAAGAGACGCAATGCATACTACCCGCATGCCTTTCCCATCAGTAATACCACCGATGGTGATTAGAGCAGTGTGGAATGTTCCAAGGACAGCACTTCAGACGTTGTCGAGTCATGCGCGCTGTAGTCTCGAATCGCGTGACTAGAAGTATCGCATGATGTGCCAATGATGTGCTTCGATCGATCATTCAAAAAACAGGCTTTCCTGTGGGTTGACTTCCCCAGGCAGAACACATCCATCTGAGTTTCGGCCTATGGTAATATTTAGTCACCTTGGTTGCCGAGTCTAAAGACCACATTTACTGATCCACGAGTGAGAGCAAGTACTGAGGTTGAACGTCTTGACTAGCTTCGCGGATGAACGGGGTTGACTGAGAGTGTACGTGCTGTCAAGTCGTGCTCCGCGAGCACCCTTTTAGAGGAAATTGTGTAGACGTAGAATTGTTGCCTGTGGAAATATAGGGTTGGCGCACCCAGTCTCCAGTAGCCGGTTCATTTCAGTAGCCTTTGGAAACCTGCACGGAGGATGGAGTGATAAGCTTGGTGGCTCGCCTGACTAAATTTTGCTTTGCTACCTGCTTCTTCGGTATTCACATGCAATCGAACCCTGAAGGGTTAGAAGGAAAGCTTTGATTTGGAACGATAATGATTAGAGCAGTGTGGAATGTTCCAATGCCCACAGTTTGACTCGGTGTGACAAGGTCGAAGCAGGTCTTATATGAGTTGATTGGATATGCTACTGGCGAAAGGAAGGTCTTGGCTGCGGAGTTATTTATTAGAAAATGTCAACTACAGTTACAGACTATTGGACAGGGGAGCTAAACTCTCCTATGAGTCTTGTTTATAAAAACTGTGTATCCGTCCTCTTCTCGAACCCGCCTTCCTGAACATTCCCGAATACTCATTGACTATCACTCAAAC